TTCCCCGGATCTAGTTATTTGATTTTGGTTTTTTTTAATCTAAAAAAAACTTTCATGGACATTTTTTTCATACAAAAAAAGACATTGATGTGGTTTTAAATGCATTTTTTTTATCAATTCCAAAAAAAGAATGGTTTCAGGCAAATCTTTGGGAAAATTTTTTTAAAAAAAAGTGCATTGATGCTGGAGGAGACTACTTTTAACACTTCTAAAATTTTGTATAACTTTAAAAACCTAAGAGTATCTCAAAAATTTCAAAATCACCCTCATATTGAAGCCTTTTCTCAAGCTGTCATTCATGATTGGAGAAAAGTAAAAACTAGTCGCCATTTTCACAAAAAAATAAAGCTTTTGAATTGTTTTTCTGTAAAGTAAAAGAATTTCATCTTCCAGAAAACCGCGAAGTTTTTTTCTACATCCTCCCCCCCCTTCCCCCGTTTCAAAGGCTTGCAATCAATCACTTAATACTGGTGATTGATTATTTCTTGATCAATGAAACTTCTATTTTATATAAAAGTAAGTAAATATAAATTTTTTTTCGCACTAATACGAGGTATTAAACAATTGTTTAGATTGTCCTTATGTATTTGATTTTATTTAAAGCAGTTTTTTCCCCAAACGGGGGGGCGTATCCTACAAGGGGGCGGAGTGTACAAAAAGTCGAAAAAAAAAGAAAAAAAAATTTAAATTTATTAAAAGGGAAAGAAAAACACAAAATACCCGACATAAAAAAAAGTAAAATACACATTTACACTGATATAATACACTTAAAAATAATTCCCAGTGCCCCTATGAATTCATAAAATATTATAAAAAAATTTAATACTTTGCCCTTGAAAATTTGTTTTTTTAAATTAAATTCTAAAAAAAAGTATAATATAATTTATAATTAAAGTCGATATGTAGCTTTACGTCAGATTATATTATTGAATTCGAATCCATTGTTATTGTATGGAGGGGGGCGCGATGAAAATTATGATTGAAAATTTGGTCGCAAGTATAGAAAGTTTGAGAAGTACTGGCTTAAGGTGTATAATATTTATTACAGATTTGTCTATTAAGGTATTGTGCTACGAAAATAAATCTTTCTTTACTTTTTTTCTTTCTCGCATAAAAATGTATTACAATAAGCTTTATGTAGATGAGATGAGGGGTATTATGGAGCACCATTTACATTTCTACTTATAATTTTATTGGTTTACGAAAAAATCCCAAATCATCATAAATACCTACTATAATTGTTTGTAATGAATTATCTCTTATCTAAAAAATACTTATTTTATAATAAAAAAATTAATTTTTAAAAACATATTATGCATGAAGGTTTTTATGGAATAGTTGGATAATATGGAAAAAGTAGTTTAAACCATTAAAAAACTTAGACTTTGCAAAACGTATTATTTTTAACTATAAAAGTCATATTTTCTAGGTTACGTTCAACTCATTTCTGTTTTGAATTTACTTACGAAAGTCACAACTAAATTCTTTTTCTGCTTCGGTACAGTCTTTGCTTTCTGGTTCTCTAATTGATGGTATAAAGTAAGTCCATTATAGATGATGTATCAGAATGGAATGATTCGTCGCTGCAAACATTGGAGTCATCTTTATAAGGTTTAAATATGAGGTTTATAATTTTTTAATGGAGGGTTTTTGATTGTACCTTTTTGTTGTTGTTGTTGTTGTTTTCAAGCTTCTGGTTCTTTCTTCTTGTGATTTTCCTTTAATTTATCCTCTAACGCTTTTTACAAGGTAAGTATGTTGTTAAGGCTCAGTGGCGGAGTGGTAGCTAATCGCGCTTCCACATCAAAGATACGGGTTCTATTCCCGCGCTGGGCAAGGTCGACTCAGCCTTTCATCCCTACTGCAGTGGGTCGATAAAAGGATTACCAAGCTTTTTGGGGACTTAAACACTGGGGTCTTGCTTCAGACTGATCAGGACACATCAGCTCATGCACCTCAGCACCCAATGGTCTCGCATACTGGGATGGCACAGTAGGCCCTAGCTCTCATGGGCTGTTGCGCTAATGAATTTGAGTTAAGTATGTTATTGTAAAAAAATCCAGCTTTCTATATTACGAAATACCTAGTGTTCTATAATACCCGACACACCATCCTAAAAAAAATGAACCTTTACACTCAAAAATTAAATATTGTCAGCTAAAAAAACAATCACAGTATAGCAAACTACACTTCTTTCAGTGTTCATTATGTTTATCATCAATGTTCAAGTGACATGTGTTCTTGTAGGTTAAAATGTTTGAGAACTTACCTGTCAAAGCTTTCGAAAATCGCAAAAAAACACTTTGTTCTCTGAGAGAAAGAAGTGGTTTTAAATTTTCCCAACGCTTAAGCAGAAACTTAGGTGTTCCTTATTTCGTGACCATTCCAGAATACTAAGGTGACTAATTGTCCTCCTTTAGGAAGGATAGTCTTTTTTTTTATTTCTGCCCTATCTTGAAAAGTGTCCCCCTATTTGTCCTGCTTTAAAATATTTTAAAATTAATTTGTTAATCTCTGTATTCAGAGATACCAGACCAAACAGTTACGCTCCATGTGCTCGAAAAGTATGAGTTATGGGAGATATTAATGTATGTTGTACATAATCAGGCACCTAATTTCAACAAAATGATTTAAAAAATTGATGGTGAACATATTTCAGCAATAGAAGTTGTGACGGGCTCACGCGTCTCTTCTGTAACATAACCTCTGGGTTCTTTGACGGCCAAGATTAATGGCAAATCTTTTCCAACCCAAATCCAAGAAGTGAAATGCAAATAAGATAGCTTTTAAAAGAACAGAAGTTTCAGTAAGCAAAATGACAATTTAGGGTAAAGTTATGTTTGGAAGAGATACGAGTGTGAATTGACGGTCTATCATAAAGTTACTAAGATTCCTAGCCATTACTACAAGGTGCATACCATTGCACGCCTAAAAGTCTCTGAACAGTGATTGAATCTTAGCTTGAACCAAGGTAGGACTGATTATTTGATATTAGGACTTGTAATATTATCAGAATTGAAAGTAGGCGGATAATATAACTATTTAGATAAGTGATCTAAGTTACGTGATTAGGTTTAACTACAGCTGTGTGTTTGGTTTATTCTCACTTAATATAAGTTTATCTAATTCATTGGAAATTTATGTTATATTCTTAATACAGTCATATTAAGAATTTTAAAATGTCGATTCTTTTCGAGAATCCCACACCTCTAATTCACGCTGACAATCAAAGATATGGTCACCATAGAATGACCATATCACAAAGTTAGTCTTATTTTGAACGATTTTGTCCTTCATTAAAAATCCCTCTTTGAAGAAAAATTTGATCTTTTAATAATAAAAAGAGAATTGTCAAATTGAGAAGAATCAAATTCAAGAATAAGGGAAAAATTTACAAAAGTAAAAATTTTTTATAAAAATGCTTCCAAAATGTCGAACAATATTCTGAAGCGAATATCACAGGAAATAACAGCTTTCAGTGCTGTTGTTTTTTTACTTCATTAAAAGAAAGAAAAAACTGGACAGATATAGAAAATTGTGTTGAGTTTTTATCTAAAGAAATGCTTTATGTTAAAATCGATGACGATTGTCTGTTTGAAAATATTAAAAGACTGAATGTGTATTTAAATAGAATTGTTGAAAAATGGGTAAAAATATTTAATTATTTCAGAACTGAACACATTCCATATGAAACTTTAGCTATTTTTTATTGTATACTGTGCTGCCCTGGAACTAATGCATCAGTTGAAAGAGTTTTTTTTTAATTGGTCAGGATTTTTGGATGAGTGAATTTTAACGTCGCCTTTTTTCCCACTGAAAGTTTTGGGGGACGGACGTGTTTTTTTAAACCAGGGGGAAAAATAAAATCCCCTCTTTTAATTTCTACAAACCAACGAAGGGATATGGGGTTTAAGTTTTAAAGGTGCATCCCCCCTGCTGGCGGTTTTCAGTGGTACTGGCTCAGTTTGGCGGCGCTCTTTTCGTAGTCGCAAACAACAAAAGACAGGAATAAAAGCCCCCAACGGCTGGCCCGAATATGGATGCTTTTCTTCTCAGCCGTCTAAGGCATGCACGGCGTAACTGTGGATGGGAGGAAGGTGGATCGAAAAACACCCCTGCCGAGGTCAATAGCCTGTCGGCAAAGCTGATGAGTCGTATCCGAAGGTGGCCAGTTGAAATAACACTGCACCCAAGCAACACTCAAGGTCAGCATAGGTCTTCCTCCTCTGTGACACCAACAATTTGTCTCCGAAAACTCATAACATGCCGGCCACGAGTCCATTACCTTGACCAAGGCCACAATGATTTTTTTACAAGTAAGAAATCAAGGTTAAATGTTGATACTGCAGCTGTCGCAGCGTAAAGCTCAATATAAAGGATATTTCTTGTCGAAATTTTCGATTTATTAGAAAATAGTATATTGATGAAAAAAAATTAGTTCAATGAAAAAATACTCATTCAAGCAAATAATTAAAAGGGATGTAAACTTAATTAGTACATTTTTTGGAATTAATTAAATGTTTCATACATTTAAGTTGTAATTTTTTTCTTAAACATTTCATCCTCCTTTTCATTGCAAGAAAATTAGTTACCTTAATAATATCTTCCTCTCCTCTAAATGGATATTACATCAACTAGATAATCGGTTAAATATCCATACAATGTGGAATCTTCTTAATATTATATGAATATAAACAAGTAACATAAAAAAAGTCAATTTCCAACTTAAGTCAACAAAGAAAAATTTTTTTTACTTACTTTTTGTTAAACAGTTACAATTAATATAAATATGTATATACATATGTCGGAGAGAGAGAGAGAGAGAACCACACTATTAGGTCACCAAATAGAAAGTGATTTTCCTTGCAATTTTCCATTTTCCTTTTTCCATACTTTTTTTTGTTTGTTTGTTATACTTTTATTCATTCATTAAATTTAATAATAGTAATAAAATAGCATAGCAAAAAACAAAACAAAAAAAGTAATCTCTTAGATTAGGCCATCCCAGGTGGGGTTTGAACCCGCCGCCCTTTGGATGAGATGTCCAACGCGCTATCCATTGCGCTACAGAGACACAACGTTCGCTGTTCCTTTCTGTATGGCGTTGGACTATTATTTTTTTTAGTTGCTATTTATTCATTTTTTAATTGAATGAATGAATTAATATTTGAAAAAAAACTGTATTAACATGAAGTGTCATCCACTTCAAGTTAAAAAAATGTACTTGAATGGATGAATAGAAAGTTATTAGCGATTGTGAAAATTGAATAAGATATATGTATACAGAGAAATTGAACTAATAGTAGGAATTGAAAATTGAACAAGATATATATATTGAGAGAGAGTGCACTAATAGTAGGAATTGAAAATTGAACAAACAAAATAAAGGTACGTCAAATATATAAATCACGCATAAGTATAAATAAATGTTTATATTGAACTCCACATGCGTGTTAAACACAATGTACTATATAAAACTCAGACAGTAAATACAAAATTCATGTTTGTTTTTAAAATCAAATATACAAATAGAACAATAAAGTATTTAGCTGTGATTGTTTTATTTGGATTACTAGTGTTATTTAAATAGATTTCATGACAAGTAATTGAATTTTCCTTTTTGTTTCGCCTAACTGGACACAAAACTACTAAGTAAATGTTAGAATTCGCTACATGATATTTTAAAATATTTATTTTGAATATTTATAAAATATTTATTTTCCCTGAAAAATAAAATTATGGGGGAAGAGTAGCGAAGAATACGAGGGAAATAATTGCTCACAAGCCAGAAAATATTAATGCATTCGATTCATGTATTTCCTTTCTATGAAATGTTTCTAAAAAGGAAAATTGAGAGAGAGAGAGAATCAGTTTAACCAACTTCAAATTCTAAAGTTGAGATTACTTTGAGATCGTACTGAATAATATTTCAGTACGAATTTTCGATAAATGAGAAAAAAAGAGATATAAAAGAAAATGTAAAATGTAACCAATAAAGACAACAATTTTTAAAGAAATGTCTTTTTACACAAATTTTATGATTGCTTAGTTGTCGCTCATTGAATAAAGAATTGAAAAAAGTATTTAAAATTATAATCGGTTACATTGGTTTTCGGAGAACATGCAATGAGGTCGTTATTTTTCGTATTGGAAAACCTATAGCTTTAATTCGTTTAGGTATCTATTATCGATACATCCGGTTAGTTACAGTATCGTATGCATCTGTTTCGGTATGTATTGCAATGTGGTTGTTTCTTGTAGAAAAACATTTTTTTAAGATACAAGAAAACAAGGAAACATATTTCAGAGTTTATCTTTTTTGAAAGTCAAAAAAGTTTTAAGGAATTATTTTTTTTCTTTCTTCATTGCAGTGTGTCAGGGAAGTTTTAAGGAATATAAGTATTTAGTAGGTTAAAAATAAAATTATGTGGGAGTACTTTGTCTTCGTTTAATTCAAAACAAGAGTATCATAAATCATAATTATCTCAAGATTGAGTTCCATAACTAACAGAAAGGTGAGAAATATATATATATGTAAGGATAATTAAATTAGATTAAAAATTAAATTCCCTATCTAGTAATTCACTTTTATATTACCTCCTCACCTCTTCAAGTGTCAAACTAATGACCCATTTATTTCTTCCGAACATATGGCCTAGCCAATAAACATGTCTAATTCCAGATCGTTATATTTAATAGTCCTATATGTCAGCATTAACTTTCAAGAGCATTCATGAACGCCGCGATCGGTGTTTTAAGTGTTTAACCCACTTAAGATATTCGTTGGCTTTCTTTTTTCTCTCTCTGCCTCTTGCTTCAGATGATGTCTAAATTTGATCAAATAAAGACCTTTATATTAAAGCTAAGTCTGTATCTGACTCTAAAATCATGTCATATATATATATACACAAGCAGTAGCGCACATAGGAATTTTTCAAGGGGTCCGGGGTTGAAAGTTCACCAATCTTGTATCATGCTCCTTTTGATTTTGTCGATTTTCGGGAACAAAACACAGTAAAAAACTGATTATTGAATAAATAATTAGCATTAATTAATAAAATTAATCATTAATAACAAATACTTAATTAAATTTTACGCACTATATACTTAGAATTATAATCAATTGGAAAAAATATCAAGGGCTTTGGGGGGGTCCAGACCCCCAGGACCCCTCCCTTGTGTGCGCCACTGTACACAAGGTGTGAAACAAAAAAAAATAAGACTATGTGTGCAGCTTGAAAAAAGTGGAGTTGGCAACAACTGTTTTGCAAACGTCATCCCACGCACCTACTCTATCCATGCGGCCAGTTTCGCCTTTACTGATCACCCCAGTTAGGTGCACTGAGTCATTGAGTGAACACGTGCAGATGCATCTACCTGAAAAATGTCGAACCATCATCATGTTTCTTGTGAAACAAGAAATCCGCCACGAAAACACTTCAAACATTAACCGAGACTTATGGATATGAAACTTAGTCTCGTAAATTGCATTAGAGGTTTTCAGGGGAAAGGAACAGTGTAGAAGATGATGAATGTGCTCAACGCCCCAAGGTAAGCGATTGCAAACCAAGACATTGCCAAATTCGTTATGTGATTGGGTTTCCAGTCGCATCAGTGTGGTCGGGCTGTTAATCAACAATACTACATTGAAATACTAAAAACACTTCTTGAAAAATTCAGGGAAAAAAAAAGGGCTAGAATTGGGTGGAAGGATGGATGGCTGTTGTACCAAGACAATGCAACCGCTCACTTGGCCCTGTCTGTCAAGCAGTTTCTGATCAGAAAAAAACATTACTGAGGTGGGGTATTCTCCTTATTCACTTGATTTGGCCCCATGCATTTTTTCTTTTTATTTTCTACAGTTAAATCTTGCTTAAAGGGAACCAATTTTTTCTCAGAGGAATAAGTACAGGCAAAGATGGAAAATCACCTGAACAGTTCTAAAAACCTCGTTCCAGAACTGTTACCAGTGTAACGTCGTCAGTCATTCGTACACAAGAAAATTTGTCACAGCCATATTTAAAAAAATTAAATAGTATTTAATAGATTCAAAAATATTCATTAATTAGGCCAAAGCCGGGCGGACAGTCTTTATCACCCGAGGTCAGTCCTTATTCCGCAAGGCACTCGACAATCCCTTGCTTTTCCGGGCTCCTCATTACTCCATGGCTCTATCTCTCCAAGTTTCTCTCTCTCTCCGTTCGTTCCAGTCTTTTTCCAGTCTCCTTCTCGTCCATCCGTCTCTCTTCTCCAGTCTTTCAAAATTCACCCCTTTTAAACACCAGGGACGGGTCCACCACACGCCCCTCGTTTTCCTCATTGGCGGTCAAAGAAAGGGCCTGCCTCGTCTTCCTCATTGGCAGGTCAAAGAAAGGTCTGTCCTCGTCCCGGGCCACCTTCGTCTCTCATTAGGCAAACACAAACACATTCCCGTCCGTCTGAAATCCAGGCGCCATAACTCACATCCATTCATCTCACACCTGGGCTTCACAGCCCCACTCTCAATGCATCGACTTCTATTCAAAACTTTCATAAAGGAATGCCTATTGACACCGGCATTCCTTAGCCATTGTAGATTCCAGACCAGATGTCTGCGCTTGTCGAGGCCAGTCAACAAACAGCCCCATGGCCACCTGCACCTGTCATCCAACATCTGTTTGGGGATGAATGGAAGGGTGATTTCAGATGAATTGACGGGTGGGGTTCACATCAATTGAAGACGTCACACCAGCAATGGCAGCCCCGAATGCAAAAGTATGTAACTGCTATAGGTGATAATGACAGGAGTGTGTGTGTGTGTGTGTGTGTGTGTGTGTGTGTGTGTGTGTGTGTGTGTGTGTGTGTGTGTGTGTGTGTGTGTGTGTGTGTGTGTGTGTGTGTGTGTGTGTGTGTGTGTGTGTGTGTGTGTGTGTGTGTTTCAAACCTCGTATTTTTACACTCTTTTTTCTGGTATTTATGTGCTACACCGTCAACAAATTTCGCCAAGCAAAAAGAGATCACCAATTCAAAAAATGTTGCCAAATCGTTATAATTACTGTGTCATCTTTATTATTTCTGAGTTTGAACGTACCAATAGTGAAAATAATTTCCTCTATTAGCAGCATATCATGGTGTTTGGTGACGTCTTTTGAAGTGACGAAATTGATCGACGAAATAATACGTAATCATGGTGTTTGGTGACGTCTTTTGAAGTGACGAAATTGGTCGACGAAATAATACGTATAAGTGCCTCTTTTTTTAAAGATAAGATAGGTTCAGTGTTTTTCGTGATACATGCTGCTCAAGTATATTATTGAAAACAAAGCAATTCACTGCACTTAACGAAGAATAATTTAAATGCGGGTAAATGACAGATTTAAATGATAAGCAACGTTTTGTTTATAGTACTTAATATACTATTTTAAAATATATAATGATTATTCATCGAATTATATAAATATTAAAGATTTTAGGTGTAGTAAAACTATTCATTAAAGAGAATCGATGATTAATGTAAGATTTAGTAAATTATCCTTGTGAATAATTCTTATAATGCTAATAATCTCCCTAAAACAACGTAACCTAGATTTCTGTTCCGTTTCTCACAACATATTAATTACAATTGAAATGGGACTAGAGAAAGTTATGAGTGAAAATTTATACGTAGACCTCTGTATTCTATCTGGCAGCCGCATAGTTCAATTCAAAACCCCAAAAACTGGGCCCACATAGGAGATAAATTCAGTTTATCTACCCTACGAAAAGCTAAGCTCATCTTCCACAATCACATTTTCAATGGATCCCGTCCTATGTCAATATCTTCGGAAATGAGAATTCGCTGAAAATCTTTCAAAGGAGGGACTAGACCTTCCTAACCTTCCACCTCATATTTAGAATTATTCGCGAAGGAAAATGCCCAAAATAAAGAAAAAGGGTTAAAATTTCCGTTTCATAAGTGGTATACAGGCAGAAAACCAGGGCTCTCTTTATCTCTTCCATGTGACACACAGTTCAACATTTGTCTGTCCCGACTTGCCAGCGGTCATTTAAAAAGTCTCACTTTTCTGGAGGCAATCTTATTTGCTCTAAATGCCA